GAATTGACAAACAAATAAATAGTCGTAGACGTATATTGTTTATAATTACAGAGGTAAATAACAGAACAGTCTAGAGTCCGAAGTGGTCGGTCGCCTCCAGGGAATGAGAAGGGTGGGGAGAGCTGGAGTAAGGACTACCGCTTTTTCCTGACAAGCCTCTAATAACAGCTAAATATGTTTTAAGACATGAGAATGAACTCCATTGTCAAAAACAAAATATTTTAAATAATTTAAGTAATTTGTATAATTCTCATAACCCTGTGCTGGCATTTCTTCATTGTTTAATTTTGTAAGAAGGCTCCACGCCCACCGTGGGCTTGAACTCATGACCCTAAGATGAAGAGTCACAAGCTCTATCCACGGAGCCAGCCAGGCGGCCTCATTTCTTCATTTTTAAATATATTAGGAACCTCGGGCGGGGGGAGTGGGGTGGGGAAAGGTAGTGTGCCTGGCCCGAGTGGCCCTGTGAGCTCTGGCTTAGAGATCAAGGCGCTACCCACCCCCCATTCTCCTCTACACCAGCTCCCCACACAGGAGGGAGAGCACTATTTACTCTTTCCCTATTATGGGATGGGCTGAGGCCCTGGGCGTCCAACCTAGGTGGGCCCTGAGTCCTAGGGTGGGAGTGGAGGAGCCACAGCTCCCAAGCTGGGGAAGTCAGGAGGAGTCCTCCCATGAGACTGCAGCCGAGCCATTTCGGAGTCCCACTAGCCCTGCCCCAGACGCCACTGCCCGGCTGCTGCTAACAAGGCCCCGGGGAGCGTGCAGGACACCCCGCCCAGCCCCAGAGTCCCAGATGCTGCCTGCCACCCTCCCTGCTCAGGTGCCTCACCTCGTGTCCCTGAGAGAGGCTGGTACTGCTATCTGGGCCAGGCTGCCCCTCCCTCCCTCCACTCCTCAGGGGCTCTGCCCAGGGTCCCCAAGGCCCTGCTGTTTGCCAGGGCTGGTGTGGGCCCTGCACCCACCCAGCCGACCTCTCCCCCTAAGAAGCTCCCCCACCCTGCCCCCAGCAGGGCCTACAGTGGAAGTGACACCTTGCCGAGGCCCAGGTGGGAGAATTCATTACTTTCTCCAGCAAAGGCCTGCAGCTATTTCATTGCTGGAATGAAGAGAGTTCCCAGGAAACCTAACACCCCGCCCTCCCCACTTCGAGAAGGAAACTCTGCACCCCAGCCGGTCTCCACTGGACAAAAGCGGGGGCAGGGGGTTCCCCTGAGCTTAGGGGCTGGGGCTCCCTGGGCAGAGGGATGCCCTGCTTCCACTCAGGCCCCCACCTAGACACGCACACACATGAAGAGGTGTCCTAGGAAGACCCAGTCCTACTCCTTTTGCCTCTACGCTTAGGGCCCCTGTACTGGCTGAGGTGTACCAACACCTGCGTACTCGCTGCCCTCCGGACCTGCGGGTGTCTACTGACGCATCCTACACAGCCTGGGGCCAGCAGACTTGTCCAGTGCATAACTCCTGAGCCCACGGGCTGCTAGCAGTGTATTTTTCAAATTTGTTCCAAATTAGTAGAAGCCTTTGGTTAGATGGACTCTGACAAGGATGCACTGCTGGAAGAAAAGGTGAAGGGGCCCTGAGCACAGAGCCTTCTGCATGCACGGACTTGGTCTCCTTCCCCTGCTCCTCGGCCTCCCCAAGCCCCAAGGAGGACCACCAGAGGCTGGGGTGGTCACTGCTTCCCAGCTTTCCCACCAGGTAGGTGGGAAGGGTCAGGGAGGTGGGATGCTTCCTTGAGCTGAGCTGGGTGGCTGAGGGGGGCACCCACAGACCCTCCTTCTACGCCGCCCCTCCCCTGCTTCCCGGACATGTTGATGCTGGCTCTCTGGGCTTTGTGGTTCCCCCGCTTGAGCTTTTCTACTCGTCAGCTGTGGGACTGCCTACTTTAGGGGGAGAGGGGGTCACAGGTGCTCTGGGACACACCAGGTACCTCGGGTGGGGTAGCCTCTGTCCAAGCATTTGGGCCCCCACAATCCATCTCGCTGGCCTCTATGTCAGGAGGATGAACTGAGGAGATCGGGGAGGGGGCTTGGCGGGGGGCAGGGGGCAGACCATGATGGAGCCAGCCCCAGGAGGAAAGAAAATGTTTCCTTGGGAACACAGTCTGGCCCCCTCCAGAGTGCCCGTTGCCAGGAGAGGAACCCTGCTCCCCTTGGCCCTCCCACAGGGAGCTTTGCAGCCTAACCTCCACCTCCCACCTCCTGGGGAACACCAGGGACTTGTGACTCAAGAACACAGCCGGCTGAGCCAACCTCAGGGCCTCGTCAGCCAAAGGGAAACTGGCCTACAGCCCCCTGCCCCCTTGCAACCTGGCCAGGCGTGCATGTGACGGGAAGCAGGACACCCAGCAACCATCACCCTGCTGGGTTCCGGCTGGGGGTGGCCATGGACCCTTGTCTTCACCAAAACCCCTGATGAGCACCTCACACCTCCCCACCACTCCCTGCTTCCAGGCTCAAAGAAGAGCTGTGGGGTTGGGGGACACAGAGCAAAGCCACTGAACCTGCTCTGAAGCCTGCCATGCCACCGCCCCCCAGCCTGCCAGCGATGCCAAGCCTGTCCCTGGGAGGGCCTCTGTGGGGCTTTCTTGGAGCGCAGAAGAGGCAGCTATGCCAAGTAAAGACTAGGGAAACCCAGCTGCTGTGTGCTTGAGGAAAGCCGGGATGTGTTCTGGGATAGTGGGGGTTACGGGGACCTAGCTGGGATGCCTAGGGTCTACGGGCTTTCATTATGATGTTAGGTGGGTGCCCCCAGGTCCATCCCTGGCAGGAAAGGGCTGGGTGGGGCCCCTTGGGGCCCCCATGCCCTGAGGACTGAATAATGCACTTTCTGGAAGCAAGGGTCACTCTGGGTCAGTCCTAGAGCAGAGACACATCCAGGAGCCTCTCTCACCAGGACTGACTGGCATTCCCCTTCTTGGCACCCCCGGAACAAGGGAGAGAACTGCCCTGACTCCTTTGTGGCTGAACAAGGGTTAACTTCAACCAGTACCCTATATTCCTGTCTGCCCCCCCCAGAGAGGGTGAAGATAGGGCTGAATCTAGTGCCTAGTTTCTGTGGCAGCTGGAGGAGAAAGAGGAACCCACTCAGCAGCCCCAAAGCACCCCCACAGGCAGCGGGTTCCTGGGCTCCCCACCCCACTTTCACTCCAGCAAGATGGCTGACTTGAGTACTGGCAGTCAGAGAGGCCTACGTGAGAGTCTTTTCTTCTAGGGCATTTCGCCTCTCTCCAGTCTCAGCAAGAAAAGAACCCGCCACCCCTCAGACAAGGGAGCGGGACTGAAACCTTTTGGAGATTTAGCCGCTCGCCTTCTGCCCAACAATCCTTGGACCAATCATCAATCACCCCATCAAGAAGTTCCTCTGGGATCAGATTTAAATCCTTCCAGCTGGAACCTGTGTCAGAAGCCTATCTTCTTTTGCCCTCAGGGGGAAGAAAACGGGAAAGAGTCAGAGGAGACTGGAGTGTCCTAGCGCCCAGCACCTCGTCCTGTATTTCCCTGTTCATGCTCACACCGCCAGAACCAGGTCTCCCTGAGAGCAGGCAATGTGCCTGGTTTGTTTGTCTTCGTCCCCCAGGACCTGCCGCTCAGTCCTTGCTTCCTTTGTCAGGGCTCTATGGTGGCAAACCACTTCCTTTATGATAGATAAACAGAGGCATGGTCTGAGGAGCAACTTGGAGTGCCCTTGTTTAAGCAGAGGTAGAATGCAAAGTAGACACCCCAACCAGGCATGGAGGCTCAGGTCACCCCAACATTTTCTAGGACTGCTCTGTGGAGGTGGAGGCTTTGCTGCTCTGAGGGCTCAAGGGTGGACTTCACTCTCTGACCCTCACCTTGCTCTCCACCTCACTTGTCCTTTGGGAAGCAGACAGCTCCTCCAACTGAACTTCCTGTGACTCAGGAAGTGGCCCTCAAAAGGCATGTTCCCCAAGGGGACAACTCCTGAACTGAACCACTCCCATGCACCCAGAGTCTGAGATCTGGGCCAAGTCTGCGGGCTTGCAGCCTGAGACAAACCAGGGCAGGCTGGGCCCAGCTCTGGCTCTGACTCTCCTACCCTGGCGGTTGAGTTGCCCACACCCCAAATGCCCATATGTGGCCTGGGGAACCAAGGCAGAGTTGGGAACTACCTGTGAACTGTGCCTGCCTTGGTCCTGAGGAATGACCAGAAGACCCCATCCCTTACCCCGTCCTCTGGGAGGCCACCGCCCAGCCGAAGGTGGCTGACCCACCCGTTCTCACTGACTGGCAGGGGCCAAGGAGCCCGCTCTGTGTGCAGAACCTCAAATCCTTCCTGTGCCCATTGGTCCCTAGCTTCCTCGGCGCCTGGAAGCCAGGCCCCAGCACCAGAGGGCAGGAGAGCTCCTTTCAGCACCTGGACAAGGCCCTTCAGGGCTTCCCTCTAGAAGGTGGTGGCGGGGGGTCTCTCTTTCTCCACTCCGCATTCCAGAGCCGCCGCCGGGGTCTGAGGGATCCTGGGGCTCTGGCCAATCCGAGCAAACAGATGCAGCGCTCACCCGTGAGGGTAGAGGGCACTGGGTGGGGCTGGGATGCCCGGGAGTGTCACAGCCTATTCTCTGCTCCTTGACCTGTGACCCCCGCCCCACGCAGGCCTTGCCCACCTCCGCACACTCACGCGGGAGGTGTCGCCACTTGGCTGCTAGGCGGACTCTGGCACCACATGGAGCGCAGACCAGAGCCGGCAGCCCCTCCCCGCAGCCCTCCGCCTCGGCTGAGGAGGGGCACGGCGTCCCCGACCCCAGCCTGAGAGGGTCCCGGAGCACGTGCGGGCCGTCCGTCCGAGCCGGAGGGAAGCGGGTGGGGACCGCTCCCATCACCCTCTCCCGGTCAACAAGCACAAAAGCCGAGGCCACGAACAAAGAAGCGCTGCAAACTCGCCGGGGAGGCGGGACAGCCCGCGCCGCGCCCCCTCCCCACACCCGGCGGGCGTGCCAGGCCGTGGGGGTCCCCGCGGCGCCCAGACGGCGCTCGTACCTGGCCGGCGCGGACCTCCTTCTCCAGCTCGCGGTGGCGGTTGTGCCACACGAGGTAGTGCAGCGGGTACTTGCCCTCGGGCCCCTTCCTGGCGGAGGCGTTGGCCGGGATCATCGCCCGCTCCTCATGCCAGGGCCGCGGCGCCCGGCCGGGGAGGGGGGACGGCGCCGGAGCCGGGACCCGGGGCCGCGGGGCGGGGGGCCGGCGCTGCCTGCTCGCGGGGCTGCGGCTCGGGCATGTGCAAGCGGCGCCGGCGGGCGGGGGCGACGCGCCCGGCGCTGTGCGGGCGGCGCGGGCCGCGGGCGTCCTCGCGAGGCGGTGGCGGGCGGCGCTGAGAGGCCCCCACCCGCCCGGAGAGGGAGCGGGCGCTCGGCGGCGCGGCGCGGACTCGCGCCTCACCTCCCACACCCCCGCACACAAAGAAGCCGCTCGGCAAAGGGAGCAGGCGCCCGCAGCGGGCGCGGGGGCGCACGGGGCGCGAACCCCGGGGACGCCGCCGCAGGGACGCGCGCCCGCCGCCCCCGGCTCCCCGCAGCTGCATTGCCCGGCCCTCAGCCCGAGCGGCCGGCGAGTGATGCGGGGATGCGGGGGAGAGAAGGGGGGGGACCCGGGTGCCCGGGGCAGAGCTTGCTGTAGCTCGGCCCCGTGGCATCATGGGGCATGTAGTCCGCCTCATAGAACTACGGGTGGCGGGTGGCCGGAGAGGGTCCGGCACTGTCGCCCCTGGTCCTGTGAGCGGGTGGGGAAGAAGTCAGGCCCAGCGGGACAATGTCCTGACGCCGGTGGGCCGGGACGCACCCCCACCCACGGGCGTTTTGCCTTTTGCTAGGCAGGAAAGGGGCTGCAGGCCTTGCTCAAGGCTTAGAGGGCGCGGGAAGGTGTGGCCTTCAGGATTGAATTGGGTTCCCAGTGGAACATGAGGAGCAATCCAGAGTCCAAGGAGTTACTGAAGGGGGGAATCCTGAGAAAGGTGCGGGACATTAGTACCAAAGGTCTTTGGAGCAACCAGGGGTCTGGCACTTGAGATATTATGTAGGAGTCGTCCCTGCCCTCTTAGAAAATGACATTCCATCTTCCACACTTGACATTCGAAAGGGAATGACTGTTAAGGCTAGAAGGGCAGTCCTCTCCCCCCCCCCCCCATTTGCTGTCCTCTGCAAGGACCAGAGTGGGGCTGGGCAGAAAAAGCAGCAGGTGGCAGCTTCCCACCTACACTCAGTGTGGTCCCCTCAGGAGAGGAAGTGACTGATTCCAAGAGACTGGCTCCTTCCTGCATAACCCCGGGGCAGAGAGGTCATTCCAGAAGAGGCCCAGCCGATGCATTGGTAAAAGAGGCTGCCTATTCCAAGGGCTGGAAAGACCAAGAGGCGTGGCCCAGTCCCTGGAGGGCGGAGGGAGGAGGGATTGGGATCTTACAGCCGAGTTCGAATTCCTCCTTACTAACCACCTGACCGTAAACAAATTGCTTAAATTTTCTGCTTTCGCAGACCACTCACCTCTAAATGAGACTCTAAACACTACCTACTAGGGTGAACTAAGGATAGTAACTGCCCTGGGAAATGGCGCACCCCGCCCGCAAGCGGACTGAGACAGGTGGCAGAACTGGGCACAGTGCCTTCTCGTCCACCTTAGAACAGGACAGGAATTAAGGATTCCATACCAGCCCTACTTAGAACAATCCAAGAAGTGTTTGCGTGGGAGGTGCTAGCAAAAGCTTGCAAACTCTCTGCGCCTCTCTCAGGTTTCTTTGTGTGGTCTTCTCTCCTTCCTCCTCCACACCCTGCGGTGCCAGGCCCAGGCGGGAAAGGATAAGGGAGGAGTGGACTGCCTCGCCCCTTTCTCCAGCCGGGGAGGAGCCAGCTGGCGTCTCCGGCAACCCGGGACCGCTGCCCACCTCTACCACGAGGGGTCAGCAGAGTCTTGTGGCTGCAGCCGGAGTTGGGGAGGGGGTTGGAGGGGGGGGGGGACGGCTACGAGTGGCCGGGAGAATGCCTGTACATTTCCTCATTAAATCGTAGAACCTTGTCTGAGATTTCTCTTTTACTGTCCTGCTTCCTGAGGAGGCGACGTCTCCAAAGGGAAATCCTGCAGCCCTTTTATCCCCAGACCAAGGCCCAGAAGCTCCGCAGCGGCGGGGCTGGGGGCTTCCGGAATAAAGTTTGGAAAGTGTGGCTCTTTGCCTGGGCCACTCCCAGGTAGTCTCCGGGCCGGCCGGGAGGTGGAGCTGGCGGGCGGGATGGGGCAACAGGGGGAATCACCCTTACCCCTGGAAAGTGTTGGGGCTCTGGGAGAGGAGTAGCTCAGCCTGGACTGGGGGACTTAGGCCCTTAGCAGCCTGGCCTCTTTGCCAGGCGGCCCTATACCAAACCCAGGTCGCTCTTCCTCCGGTCTGCGCGCTCCAGCTGCCACGTGCTCGAGACGCGCCCACACAGCAGAGAAACAAAGACAGCCAAGCGATGGGGCTGCCAGTGGCTGCCTCGACATTTAATAAATGAAATTCCATAGCTGGGAGATCGGGTGTGAACGGGCGGCCACCGCTCGTGGCTTGTGCGCCGGTGGCCGCTCCTTTTCGTCGCCCAGCCCGGGGCCACCAAGCCCACAGACTGACTACTTGGTGCGGCAGCAGCATGGTGCGGCAGGTGGTGCTCCCCGCCCCCGCCGCCGGCGCCCCCCACCCCCACCGCGAGGTATCTTTGCTCGCAGAAGCCCCGCCAGCTGAGCGGCTGGCTGTGGGGGGAGGGGAGGCCTACAAAAAGATTTTAAAGGTGCGATTATAAATATACCCCGTGGATCTCGATTTCAAACAAACTTGTCAATCTGGGCTGCAGCTAAAGGCGATGGAGGCAGCTTTGCTTGTATTTCGGGTGGTGTGACTCATATGCATTACTTGTCTCCCCCAGGGAAGCAGTCGGCCCACCCACAAGTCACTGCTGCTCCGGCACCGCTGGGATGAAACCGACCAATTCCCAAACCCCTGCCCAAGGACTCCCCTCCCATCTACACCCCACCCCCCATCCCCCTTGTTACTGAGGTCTCCCTGCCCCTCACGGAATTTTCGCTTCATTCAGTCACCGTCACCGGACCCCCAGGCCTGGTTTGGGCCACCCCTGCCCTCTCCCTACAAGCCAAGTGCTCTGGCATTTTGCGGCTGCAGGGATGGGGGCTGGGTGCACGCAGGGCACACGTGTATGGGGGAGCATGCTCAGTGCAGGGGTGCACCCACGTGCGGCCTGCGCCTCCGCTTCCTGTCCCCCCACCTACGCCGTCTCCGTGTGAAGTCTAGGAAGAAAGGCCACCGTAAGAAAAGATCCCTGTATGTTGTGTGCACGCGCCTTGGACACACAAAGCTGCGGTGGCCCAGAAACACCGTGGAGAGAGACAAGGCGGATGCAGAGTGGTTATTGCGGCACACAGGCACAGTGGTCACTCCTCGGGAGGTCTTTAAAAACTACCCAGATTCTTTTCTCTCGGGATGGAAGCATGGATGAGGTATAGATGTATTTTTAGCTGGGAGGCAGGGGAACACCTGGGCGTCCATATTGTTGGCGTTGTGCGTAATCAGCAAGGGCGTGACCACACGCACACCTGGACACTTAGATGTGGATACACGGGGGACCAGGTCGTACACCTCACCTCCGCCAGACATAGGCGGGTACCCCAAACCACAGCCCTTTGACGAGGAAGGGGGCCTGGGCCTCCAGCTCCTTACTCTCTTCCGTGTTCCCCAAGGGTCACTGTCCCCGGACTTGAGTCACCGGGCCGCCCTCCACCTGGAAAGCGAAGGGGATGGGGCTGTGAGGATAACTCACAACTGCCGAGAGGCCGGGGAGCGCGGGAGCCGAGCCCAGGGCCTCAGGCGACGCCGCACTCTCGGGTCTGCCTAGCTGCGGCCGCTGCCCCTTTAAGCGCCCCCGCCCCCTCCCGCCCGCGCTGCCGGCTTCCTTTCTCCGGGAGGCGCGGCCCGCAGGGCCCGGCGGCGGGGCGGGTGTGCAGGCCGCCCCTCCCCCGGTGGGCAGGGCCTGCGCGGCTTCCTGCAGGAGCGGCCCCGAGCCGCGCAGGGGGCGGAGAGAGCGAGCGGCGAGCGGCGGCGGGGCGGCGCGGGGCGGCGCGGGGCGGCGCGGGGCGGAGGGCGCCGGAGGGCGAGCGGGCAGGCGGGCACGGCGGGTTCCGGGCCAGCCCCGGGGGCGGACGGTTGGCCGGGTGCGCGGAGCCTAGCCGGGGCCTTGCCGGAGCCGGGCCGGGCAGCAGGGGCCGCCGCCGCCCGGGCCCGCCGCCCGCGCCCCCCACGCTGGCCCAGAGGGCTGCGGCCGCGTCGCCGCTGAGGATGTCCCGGAAGGGGCCGCGGGCGGAGGTGTGTGCGGACTGCAGCGCCCCGGGTAAGCGGGGCCGGGCCGGGGGCGGGACCGTGCGGCGAGGCCGCGGGGCTGGGGCCTGGCGGGAGCGCCGTGCGGGGCCGGAGGGTGGGGCGGGGCCGGGGGGCTGCGGCCTCCGGCCTGGGCCCCCGCCCGGGCCACTGCGGAGCCGTGTCCTTGGCGGGAGGGCCGGCTGGGGGGCCTCGGTTCCTTTGCGTCCGTGGACGAGCGAGGAAGGACATTCTCGGCGCCACCTCCCACCCCTCAGTCTGAGGGAGGCAGGCAGCTAGCTGCCCCCCCTTCTGTCTCTGTATCCCGACGGAAGCGCCAGCCTGGGGTGGCAGGAGGGCTGTGGCGGAGGCCAGCAAGGTTTAGGAGGTGGGGGCGAGTGTGGTTTTGTGTCATCTCAGTGCCACCCCCGCGTCTTGCACCTGCTGCTCGCATGGTCTGCGCGCCCGCTGAGGTGGCGGAGGTCAAGGGGCAAGAGAGCTGGGCAGATGGACCAGGAGGGGCCTGGATAGCGTTTCCTCCTGAGCAGACGAGGTGTAGCTGCTCCGAGGACTCCCTGCCCCTGGTTACCAAGGCCGGGGCTCCTTGCAGGGCCTGGTGTTGCGGGCCAGTACAGCCTGGGCATCTTCCTCGGAGGCATCCCCAGGCTGCCTGGTGACTGTGAGCAACTAGACTTAGCTGTCCCCGTGCCCTGTGAAGGGCTGCTTGAGAAGGTGGGCTGAGCATTGTCCCAGCTTGGACACTGACCCCTCCTGCCCCTGTGGCCCCCTCTGGCCAGAGATAGGCAGGAAGCAGTACCCCTGGGTTGTCTGGATTCCCAGGACCGGGCTGGCTTCC